ATCCCCAGCCCCACCCATCCCTTTTTTACTTTTTATTTTGAGGCATAATCTTACTGAGTTGCCCTCAGCTGGATTTAAACTGTTTTTTATTGTTTTTTGAGACAGGGTCTTGCTACTAGTTCAGGCAGGCCTTGAACTCATTTGAACTCCCAGCACTTTACCTGCCTCAGCCTTCTAAGTGCTGGGATTACAGATGTGTGGAAGCCCTGGGTATAAATCTCGATCCAGTGTTAGCTGTATGAACTTGGGCAAATTTTCTAACCTCAATTTCCTCCTCAGTAAAGTAGAAATAACAACTTTGCTTGCCTCACAGGGTTGTTATGAAAATTAAAGTGACACGGAGTGGCTCATGCCCATAATTCCATCAAATTGAGAGGCCCAGGTAGGAGACTCACATGTTCTAGGCCAACCTGGGGGACTAGATGAGACCTTGTTTCAAAATAAGAAACAACAGAAGTGGGACTGTAGCTTAATGGTAGAGTACTTGTCTTGCACAGGTTTACCCTCCAATATGAGAAAAAACAAATCTAAGATGTGTAGATGAGGGCTGGGGATTTAGCTCAGCGGCATAAGTGCCTGCCTTGTAAAGCAGGCGGTCGTGAGTTCGATCCCTGGTACTAATAAAAAGGAAAAAGACAAAAAAAAAAAAAAAAAGATGTGTAGATGGAATGTATCTGTTGTGGTACCTGGTACACAGTAAGTCCTCAATAGTTAATATTTTTGGGGGGCTGGAGGTTTAGCTCAGCGCCATAAGCATCTGCCTTGCTAGCAGGCAGTCGTGAGTTTGATCCCTGGTACCGATAAAAAAAAAAAAAGACCAAAAAAATAATAATATTTTTATTCTTTTAAAATGGTCCAGGCCTGGCGTGATGGTGCATGCCTGTAGTCCTAGCACTCTGAAGGCCAAGGCAGGAGGATTGCTGAGAGTTTGAGGCCAGCCTGGACTACATAGTGAATTCAAGTCCAGCCTGAACTGCATAGCAAAATCCTGTATCAAAAAGACAAAAAAAAAAAAAACCAACAAAACACACACCTGTCATCCCAGCACTGGAGAGGCTGAGACAGAAAGGATTGTCATGAGTTCAAAGCAAGCCTGAACTATATAGCAAGACCCTCAGGGCTGCGAATATAGCTCAGTGGCATAGTGCTTGCCTGACAAGTATAAGGTCTTGTGCTTGATTCCAGTACCAAAAAAAAAAAAAGTTAATATTTAAACAGTGTATCACAGAGTTCTCTAAGTATTCTAAAACATGGATTCTGACACAGAAAAGTGGCTCAGATATATGTCTTGAAGCTTCAAAGTGGCCATACCTGTAATTCCTGCACTCTGGGAGGCTGAGGCAGAAGGATGGCAAAGTTGAGCACAGCCTGGGCAATATAGTAAGACCTTGTCTCAGAATAAAATATAAAATAGTCAGGATGTAAGTCAATGCAAAAGCCTTGAGTTCCATCTCCAGTACTGAGGGGAGAAAAAGAAAGAAAGAGATGCCTTGAGTGAGTAAACTTCTGGGTACATACAGTTTAGAGTATGAGGGTGTGTACAGAAAATGAGATCCTTAAACTGTGCATACTTGTGGGAAGACTGGAGGACACACTGGATGAGGAATGAATAGCTCAGAGAGGAACATCCTGTGGCCAGGGCAATTTCCAAGGTCCTTGTATTGACTATTTTGGTAGGGATATTGACTGCAGCACATTGTTCCCAAAGTTATCATCATCTTCCCTCTTCCACTCTAAACACGAGTTAGGTAGGGCCTCACTGTGTGATCCAGGCTGGCCTCAAACTTAGAGCAATCCTCCTATCTCAGTGTCTTGAGTGCTGCAGGCATGCCTGGCAACTTTTTTTTTTTGTTACCAGCGATGGAACTCGACCTCACACTTGCAAGGCAGGTGCTTATTATGCCCCTGAGCTAAATCCTAGGCCCTGACTTTTTTTTTTTTAATAGCAAGAATTGAACCCAGGCTCATGCATACTAGGCAAGCACTCTGTCACTGAACTGTATTCCCAGCCTATGATTAACTATTCTAAAAGTGAACAATTTAGCCGGTGTGGTGGCTCACACCTGTAATCCCAGCACTCGGGCAGGAGGATCATTTCGAGTTCCAGACTAGCTTAGGCTACAAAGTGAGTTCAAGGCCAGCCTGAACTGCATAGGGACACCCTGACTCAAAAAGACAAAAAAAAAGTGAACAATTTGAGGTAAGGCAGGAGGATAGCAAGTTTGAGCCTAGTCTTGGCAATTGAGCAACTTAGCAAGACTGTCTCAAATTAAAAAGTAAAAAATGAGCTGGGGAGATAGCTTAGTGGGGGAGGCCCTGAATTCGATCCCCAAGTATCACAAGAAAAAAAAAAGTGAACATAGGGGCTGGGGATTTAGCTCAGTGGCAGAAGTGCCTGCCTTGCAAGCAGGCAGTTATGAGTTCGATCCCCTCTACCAGTCGTGAGTTCGATCCCCGATACCGATAAAAAGGAAAAAGACAAAAAAAAAAAAAAAAAGTGAACAAATCAGTGGCATTTGTTATGCAATATTCGTAATGTTCTGCAGCTCTACTTCTAAACATTTTCATCATTTTAAGCCAGTGATGGTGAACTTTTTTTTTTTTTTTTTGTCTTTTTCATTTTTATCAGTACCAGGATCAACCTCACAACCGCCTGCTTGCAAGGCAGGTGCTTATGCCACTGAGCTAAATCCCCAGCCCCTGATGGTGAACTTTTAATGATACAAACAGACTGCTACAGAACGCATGCCATACATTCACCACCACTACTTTAAGCAAAACCCCTTATCCACCAAACAGTGTCTCATTCCCCTCTTCCTCCAGCCACTGATAGCCACCAGACTGCAGTCTGTCTCAGTGAATTTAGTTATACTGAATGTTATATATAAAAGGAATCACACAGTATGTGGCCTTTTGTGTTTGACTTCTTTCACTTAGCATGTTTTCAAAGTTCATCTGGCTTGTAGAATGTACCAGTGCTTCATTGCTTTTCATGGATGAATAATATCCTATTGTGTGGCTGTATTACAGTTTATCCATTGGTTGGTAAACTTTTGGCATATTTCTTTTGAGTTATGAAAGGGCTTCTATGAACATACATGTACACATGCCTTTTTAAGTGTCTGTTTTCAGTTCTTTGTGGTATATACCTACAAGTGGAATTGCTGTCATAGGGTAAGTATGTTTAAGTTTTTAGGAACTTCCAGACTGTTTCCAAAGGCATTTCATGCAGTTCTTGAAATTTTGCTCAGTTTATCTAGATACTGACCATCCTTCAAAAACCCTGTTCAATTAAGTCAACCCAACAAATATTTTGAAATTGTATCTCTGTGTGTAAAGCTAAAAGATCATGAAATAGGGAGAGTTTATCCTTAACTCCCAGAGCCAGGTGTAGTGGTGCATACCTATGAACAAAGAAAAAGAAGAGGAAGGGGAAGAAAAAGGAGGAGAAGGAAGAGGAGGAGGAAAAGAAGAAGAGGAAAAACAGAAAGGTGAGAAAGGCCACTGTATTCCATCTTGCATGGTGGCCATCCTCACCCTGTAGGGTGTAAAATCTTTTTACCATTTAAAGGATGAGAGAGAAAAGGACAGAGAAAAAGAAAAGAGAGGGATGAAAGAAAGGCAAGAAAATCAGGCAATAATTTTGCTCTATTGCAGAGAGAGAGAAAGAGAAAAGAAAGAAAGGCAAGCAATATCTTTGCTCTGTTGTGGTCACAGCTATTAAGTTTTTATTTTAAAGAGAAAAAAAGTTTTAAAGAGGGAAAAAACAAGGGAAATAAAACGATAAAATCAATCCGAATAAATCAGAATAAGTGATACAGGACTTCCAAACCTTATGAAATCAACAACAGTTGCCACAGTGCCTTTGTTGTCTTCAAAATAGCTGCATATATCATCTTTGTATTAGAAATTGAACAGAATGCAACAGAATAGAAACAATAAAAACAATGACTGCAATAAAGTACATCAAAAAAAAAAAAAAAAAACAGTAGTAAATACATAATGGCTTCCATAACATGTCTTGCAATCTTTTAAGTAGCTGTTCTTTTTTTTTTTTTTTGTCTTTTCCCTTTTTATCGGTACCAGGGATCGAGCTCACGACTGCCTGCTTGCAAGGCAGGCGCTTATGCCACTGAGCTAAATCCCCAGCCCCTAAATAGCTGTTCTTGCCATCAGAGTTAACATAAACAAAACAAAATACACCCCCCCCCCAAAAAAAAACAATGAAAATGATATGGTTTCACTGCAGAGATCTCCTCCCTTGGGGCCTGGTTAGCGACTAGCACTGAATCTCGCTGACTCATGGAAAGAGGCTTGGGTTTGGCTCTCCCCACGCTGCAGGCAGCAGCCCTCGCATGGTGCTTGGTAACCCGGCAGGGATCTCCTCCCTGTGGGGCATGGGTCTCTCCCTCCACAGTCCGAAAATGGTGCTGAGTCACAGAGGCTGGATGCTAATAAAGATGTGACAGAAGATGCAGCTTATGGAGTGGGAAGGTGGGCAGATCATGTAACCTGGGAGAAGAGAAAGTTAAGCAAACCAAAGAGGAGGCGTGTATAGTTACAATGTAGCACAGAATGTAAAATTTGTGATTGCTGGAGTGGAGGATGGCAATATTATGAGGTGTTGAATACCACACTAAAGAATTTGCTTTTGATCCTAAAAGCTATGGAGAGTTGCTTAATAATTTGTTTGCAACAAGGGAGGGCATGGTCAGATTGCTTTTTTTTTTTCTCTTGGTATCGGGGATTGAACTCAGACCTGGCACTTGCCAGGCAGGCGCTGATGCCACTGAGCTAAATCCCTGGCCCCCAGACTCCTTTTTAAGAGATGATGTAGCTGTAGCAGGAAGAATGATGGAGAAGCAGGAGGTCAAGAAGACCAGTGAATGAAATTGCCTGTAAGAAGCTTTCCTTTGACAACTATGTTCCATATGTGTCGCCAGTGTCTAGTGCACTCGGGACCCCGGGAAGAGGCACACACCAAATCAGGACACGGGGGATGCAGAGCAGAGAAAACAGCAATTGCAACTGCATGCTGTGCTTTATTTTTAGGTTCTTATATAGTGAACGGGTCAACTCACAGTGCATTGACGTTTACCTTGCAATAGCACATTTTTGTGACAAGCTTTGTGACAAGTTACAATGTTATCTAAACTATCTAAGTGAAGCTTTTTATCTAAACTATCTAAGTTAAGCAAACAAGCATAACCAGTTCTTCTTGCCCCACTAACCCAGGAGGAACTCCATTAGCCCAAGAATGTTTTTAATTTTGTTTGTTCTTACTAGCCACCTGAAGGTCGGCCACTTCCTTCTAGCTCTGTAAACATAGCCTAGTCACACATCATGAGAAAAGAGGAGAGAACATTTTCTCCTCTTGGGAGGCTTTCCTACCCAGTCTCTGTTCCCATGCCGGGACTGATGTTATCACAGACTATGAGGGGGCCAGACTCCTTAGGGGACACCACACATATGCCCTTCCTTTTATCTCCCCCTCTCCCCACATCCACACTGTCCCCCATGCTTGTAGGGGAAGAACATTGCTAAAAACAAACCCTCAGCTGGGCGGGTGTGTGTGAAACACATGTGTGGACACGGAGACTGGAGAGTGACTGACTGAAACTGGAAACTGATGTTACTATTGCAGTCACAGGCTCTCTGGAATATGTCCAGACACCAGGAGGGCAAGAGATACTAGAAGGCCTCAACAGAAGTACCAGCTACATGGACAATGCAAAAATGCTAGCTCAACCAACACCGAGTGCCTACTGAATTAAACACTTGCTAGCACTAATTCTTTATCTGTAAAAATGGGTTCAAATAAAAAAGTGTATGAGAGTCTGGCATACAGAATCCATGTTACTGTTCCTCACATAAAACAAAGTAGGTGAGTTTTTTGGGTTTTAGGGGGTTCTTCTTCCTCTTCTTCTTCTCCCTCCTCTCTCTCTTCCTCCTCTTGTTCTCCTCCTCCTCCTTCTTTTTTGCTACTGGGAATCAATTTCAGGACCATGTGCTTGCCAGGAAAGCACTGTGCTGCCGAGCTATAAAGTAGGTTAGTCTTTTAAACTGAAGAAATAATTCACAGTGAACACCACTGATGTCACACTGTTCAGAGAAGTTTCAGTGAGGATGAGTTCAAAATGTAGCTCACACATGTAGTTGTGATAACCATCATGCATCGGGTACCCTCTGCATGCCTGGTACACTGCTGTATTACCTCTAATTGTCACAACAATTCTATGCTGTGGATATTCCTAAAGCCATTTTTACAGACAAGGAAACGCAGAATCAGAGCCAAAAGATGAACTGCCCACATGGCCCCAACCACCAGAAAGTTAAAGGTGAGATAAGACCACTTAAAGCTTCAGGCATGGGCAGTGGCCTAGATGCAGAGAGAAGGGCTCTGGCCTTAAGGAATGGTACTTTAGGGTGAAGAGAACAGACAAGGGATCAAGACAGAGAATAAAGTCAGAAGGAGAGGCTGGGGATTTAGCTCAGTGGCATAAGAACCTGCCTGGCAAGTGCAAGGTCCTGAGTTCGATCCCAGGCAGGGAAAAAAAAAAAAAAAGCCAGAAGAAGGCACTCTGGCATGGAGCTCAACAGAGATGATGCCATGAAGCCCCAAGGCAGAAAACCCAAATCTAATTGTTGAAATTGGACAAAAGTAGTTTTTATGTGGTTTTATGAATCTATTTTCTCTAACCCTAAAGAACAAAGTGGGAGAGAATTCAAAGCCAAGGAAAGTTTTTTTGTTTTTGTTTTTGATACTGGAGGTTGAACCCAGGATGATCCCCAACCTGTTTTTAAAATTTTGCAGCAGGGTCTCACTGAATCACTAAGTTGCCCAGACTGGTTTCAAATTTATGACCCCACTACCTCAGCCTCCCAGAGTGTGCCACCATGCCTGGCAATGAAAAGTAGTTTTTAGAATAAGATACTTTCTGTCCAAACTTGGATCCCCAAAGAGTGAATCTGTGATGTATATCTCTGGGTCCCCTACCATTGCTCAGTTCAGTGGCTCAGTGATGGTAAACACTTTAGAGCTTTCAATGATACAGCCCACTGAGGCACACATGCTGTAAGTTCATCACCACTGCCTAGCTGAGTGAATGAACAAGACTGCATATAAAGGAACATATAAAGCTGCAATTACAGCTACTTTGTGAGGTCAAAAGTATTTAATAATAAGGGAATGATTGCAGGTGTCAGTCGAATCCATCGATAAAGTGGGGATGTTGATAGTATCTACTTCGTAAGATTTTTAAAATGAAGAGTAAATGAGAAAACACATTAAAAGTAGAAAAGTGCCTGGGACATGATGGCTGCTCAGAGTACATTAACCTTGAGACGTGATGAGTGCTAGACTGTGTCAATCTTTATGGGAGGATGTAATGGTGACACTGACTAGCTTACAAGTCTTCTACCTTTCCAGATGATCTGCAACCTCCCAAAATGCCAACAGTTGGGACTTTTGGTCCTCTCGCCCTCCTTTGTTGGGGTAGGCTGGTTTTTGCAAAGTGGTGCAGGGTCCTGCTTTATGAATAGGTCAGGATCAGGGAGGGGCAGTAATCGCTGGGAGTTGGCTTCTGGGGATCAACTCTCATTGTGGAGAGCTCAAGGCCTGAGAGCCTCTCTGTGCTTTGTTGCAGGGGACGGGGCGCCCTCTCCTGATTAAAGATGGGAACAGCCCGAAGTTCGTGGAGTGGGCCTCACAGAATCCCACTAAGACAGGGTGTTCTTCCATTTGCTGAAATGTCCCAGCCCTCTCTGCGGAGCGAAGTTTGGAGGAGGGGCGCCGCGGCTAGGGCAAAGCTGGTTTAATACTTCGGAGGGCGAGGCTAGATAATTCGGTGCGAATGAGGTTGCAGGACAGGAGAAGCTGGGGCTGGGGAATGAGATAAATGCCTGTGAGTCAATTTCGTGTTCTTTCAACAGGTGATGGACCTCCGCGGAGAGAGAAGGTGACAGCGTGGCTTACCCCACATGTCAAATCCCGGTGTCCGGGTCTCACGCAGCTAGAATGAACGGGCAGAACGGGGCTGGAGAGAAGCGGCCTGAGGAGACGGCGGACTAGGGGGGCGCCGGGTCGGGGTCCCCGGCGGTGGGGAGGAGCCGGCAGTGGACGAGGGCGCAGTTTCCTCCCTAAGTTCCGCCCCGTGCGCGCCGGCCCCGCCCCGCGCTGCTCCCGCGCCGTCCGCCCCCCGCCGCTCGCCCCGGCCGGGCCGGGCCGGGCACCCCGGGGTACCCCGGCTCCGATGTGGCCTCCTCGCCACCACCGCTTGGGTGAGTACGAGGACTCACACGCCCGGCAGCCCCAAAGCGGGAGCTCGGCCACGCGGTCCGACCTCCACTGGACCGGGCCCCAGGCTCTGGGTCTCGGTGCCTGCCCTCCTGCTGCACCCACTCAGTTTGCTGGAGCCGCTTCCTTGCGGACGCTTTGAGCTGGCCGCCTCCTTTCCCTCCGACAGGGCACTAGGTGTGCCGGGCTTGAACTCTCCTTTCTTTACTCTGCAGGGCCTCCCGGACAGGTTTCACCCCAGATGTGGCGATGAAGGCCTAGGGGAGCCTCGGAACCTCATAGACTAGTTTCACATCCCAGCTCAGCCAGTTAGAAGCCTGATTTTTGAGTAAGTGCTTATAATCGTTATAAGCCTCAGTTTCCTCTGCTGTAAAATGGAAACATAGACTATGGGGCCTATCTAGTAGATTGTAGCGAGAATTAAAAGACAGTGTATAGCAGTGCCGAGCTGGATGCCTACTGCCTAGCAGACACCCGCAAATGTGGTTTTTGATGGGGTATGGTGGTAGGAAGTTCTCTAGGAACTTTGAAGATGAGGTGGGGATGCTCCTAAGAAAGCAATGTTCAGTTACACGGTACTTAAGAGGAAATTAAAGCTGCCTGGGGTTGAACAGGCAGGTAATGAGCTGCCTGTCTTGAGGTGTGAGAGGCCTTGGAAGTAACCTAAATCTAATGTGATCTTCCCATTGCACAACTATGGAAGCAGGCTCAGAGAGGGTATGTGACCTGTCCAAAGTCACACAGCTAAGAGGGGCCAGGCATACGTCCAAGAAGCGTAACAGATTGTCCTTTATTGTAGTTTTCTGTTTATTTGTTTCTGAGACTGGATGGATTACCACCTCACTCGCCTTCCTGAGAGATAGGACCTTTTCATTCACTGAAGCCCTGTTGATTCCTGAGGGATATGAAGCAGCAGGTTTCTGGCAGAAAAGTTGGAAGGGGTTGAGGTAGATCTACTCCAACTATAGAGTCTGAGTTTGGACAGGGTGGGCAAGGTACTCCTCAGGTATGGAGCGCTCTAAGGGACTTACAGTTCATTTAGGGATGTTCCAAGGAATGTGTTGGGCATCCAAAAATCCCCCGGGGGGGATCTCTGATTCCCACCCCCCACAACACACACACACACAGGGAGAGCAGAACTTGAGAAATTGGCACGGTTTGCCTGATTGATCTTGGCAGAGAGGCTGGTGGGGAAGGTAGATGAGAATGGCAAGCATATCCGTCTTACTCATTTTGGAATGCTAGGACACCACCCAAAATGAGGTCAGAGTTCTTGAGGAAGGGACAAGAGAGCAGAGTTCTGAGGGTGGAGCCAAAAAGAGTTAAGACTTGATTTGGTGAGGCTGTGAGACCAGAAGAACAGGTTCTTTATGTATCTGGATCTTGGCTCCAAGAAGCCTAAGTTCTGGGCTTGCCTTTTCCTTTAGGCTCAGTTTTGAGGAAGGGCTTTTCTCCCTTTGGATCTTGTTTTCTCTATCTTTACAATGGAAACAGGGTTGATGAATCATTTATGTGGGATTTGGTTTTCCCTTTCTTTTTCTTATATATAAAGCACCTCTTTTCTCTCCCTCTCCAAATCCTGATCTTACCTTATTGCCCAGAGCTCTGACCCAGAGGGGAAGGGCTCAAAGAAAGTGAGAGCTGCAGTGTGTAACTCTTTGTAGTCCCTGCATCTCCCTGCTGCTGGCTTTTCTATTGATTTGTTATATGACACTGAGTAAATTCCTGCCTTAGCGTCTCTTTCAATACGTTGAAGGAGGCTGGGTTAGGATTGTTGGTGTATGTCAGTACAATTCCTGACCTGAGGCTACTGCTATTTATGAGGGAGAAATTACTGTCCTCAAGAGCTCTTGCCTAATCTGAGGGGGTGGACAGGCCCCTGGGTACAGGGAAACCTCCAGAAGCTGACCAGGCGGCTCTCTCCTACAAACAGCAAGCCCAGGCGAGTGCCAGGCCTGATTCTGCAAAGCCTTTCACCCTCCGAGCACATGAGGCAGCAGGAGGTCGAGGTTCTGCCAGCTTCCATGGAGTCCCTGCTGCTGTGGACCAGTACTGGACCTGCACAGAGAGCCCAAAAAGGGGCTAGAGGTGCAGGAAAGGACCTGAGCTGGTGGGTGAAGCTATGAGAGCTGATGAGAGATCTTAAGCCTGGGGTTTGAGCCTGAGGTTCAGAAGTTTTGGGGAGGTGATGGGCCATCTACTCTCTGGTTGGTTGTTTTTGGGTTTTAGGGGTTTTGTTTTTGGTTTGTTGGTTTTGTTTATTGAGACAGCATCTTGCTATGCAGTTTAGGCTAGTCTTGAATCCACAATAGAGGCTAGGTGTAAGCCACCATGCCTGGTTTTTGTTTTTGTTTTTTGGTGGTGGTGTTCTTGAAATAATGAGAGATTAGATAAATTAGCCTATAATCCTAGGCCTCTCGGACCAGGCAGCAGTCTGAGGAGAAGGTCTGCCAATATAGTTATTCAGGCTTTATCCCAGTACAGATTGGGTTCATTGTCTTTCCTCTGAAATTGCAGCTGAGTGTTGTTTTGGGATTCTGAGTCAGGCTTCCTCATCCAGGGGAGGAACTGTCCAGGTTTAGGAGACTTTCTTCTCAGAGTCCTCACACTACACCGCAGCTAAGTTGAGGACTGAGCAGACTTTGCCTCTCAGTCCCAGCCCTGCTGCCTGGGGCCCTGACAGCATGCCACTCCATCCTCAGGTCTGACAAGATGTACCAGGTCCCACTGCCGCTGGACCGGGATGGGACCCTGGTCCGGCTCCGCTTCACCTTGGTGGCCCTGGTCACGGTCTGCTGTCCACTTGTCGCCTTCTTCTTCTGCATCCTCTGGTCCCTGCTCTTCCACTTCAAGGAGACAACGGCCACACACTGTGGGGTAGGGTTTGGGGTTTGGGAGCCCTGACACCTCATATTTAGGCCCTTTTTGGATCTGTTTTTAGATCTTAATTCTACTTTTAATCAAGTATCAAGCTCTCCAGTGGGGTCCATCAGACACTTTGGGCCACTTGGAGGTGCTTGAAAATTGAGGACTTAAGGATCAATCTCTACCTTCCATGAAGGTTCTAGGGGTTGGGGCCACTGAGACTGGGCAACCTCCAAATTCAGAACCCAGTCATTACTTCATAGCATATTCAGGAGCCCCAGAGTTTTCTGGAGAGAGAAGAAAAGAGGACTGCGCTAGGGGGCATTTGGGTCCTGTATTATAGAACTGTAAGCTTGTGCCTGTCACTGTGGAAGTGTGTGTGTGTGTGTGTGTGTGTGTGTGTGTGCAGGGGAGAGAAACTGATTCTGGGGGCCATGATGTTTACATGGCTCCGAGTATGGCATGTGTATGAGAGAAACTATTTGCCTATTTGTTTGGGATCTAATTATGTAGATGTGTATGTGTTCTGGGGTGTGTCCCATGCCTTCTAAGATTCTGTAGATGGCAATTTACTCTCTGGAGAGGGTTAGGGGGGTACCAGGGCTGTAAAGGAACATATGAAAATCCTTTCTTGGTTAGGCATTGGAGTAAATGAGATGAGACCTGTGTTGACTGCTGTTTATCCTAGTTCATTCACTGACTCTGTACTACCTGAGACCTAAAAACTGAGTTTTAGTTGGCTGATGTAATATCTAAAATGAGGTTGAGCGGGGTGTGGTGGCATATACCTATAATCCTACTACTCAGGAGGTTGAGGAAAAAGAATCCCAGGCTGGGCAACTTTGTGATTTAGTCAGACCCTGTCACAAGTGAAAAATAAAAAAGTGTTGCACAGAGAGCTCAGTGCAAAGACTCTGGGTTCAATCTTCAGCACTAACAAAAAGATAAAAAACAAAGTGAGTTTGGTGATTCCTGCCCGGTTTCTTTCCAGGGCTAACATAGAGCTGCAGGTAGGAAAAGAATGGAAAAGTCGATTGGAGAGTGTGAAGAGAATAAATTGTCAGGGTGGAAGGCAGGGGAGATGAAATTAGCCTGGAGGCTCTAGATCAGAAAACAGGCAGAGCCTGGACATGGGCCCTTTGGCGCTAGCTTCAGAGAGAGCGCTCCAACTTCCTGTAAAGGGCATCTGCTACAGAGGAAGGGCTAGGACTAGCAGAGCAGTTTGCCTAGGATTTTGGGGTGGAGGCCTTCTCCTTTTGTTCACATGACTTTAAGGTTTCTCCTCCTGATTTGTCCATGGGTAGACATGAGCCTTGAGTTCTAGGCACCCATCTGATGAGACTTGAAACTGGAGCTATCAAAAGAAACAGGACTGGAAGAAAAAGAAGTGACCAGGTGATCTGAAGGGAAGCATCACCCTTTCCTGATCTAATACTTACCTTAGGTCATGTATCAAATATTCCCATTTCTCTAGATAACTCATGCCCATCCTAAAATTTTTCCTAAGATATGTCATCCCCTAGAAAGCTTCTCCTTGCCTTCTTAGATCAGACTTAATCACTTTCTTCTCTGGGTGCTTTCAGTTCCTTGTTATCTTTCCTTATTTCTTTCTTTCATGGTATTGGGGCTTGAACCCAGGGTCTTTATACTGAGCTATTATCCTCACACTCTCTTTTTTTTTTTTTTTTTTTTGGTCTTTTTTGTTTTTACCGGTACCAGGGATCAAACTCAGGACTGCCTGCTTCCAAGGCAGGCGCTTATGCCGCTGAGCTAAATCCCCAGGCCCCTATCCCCACACTCTTTAAAAAAATAATTTTTTTGGAGACAGAGTCTCACTTATCTATCTCTCATACATTTCTGTCATATCATACTTGTACTTATATCTATCTTGTCCATCAGACCAGGATCTCCTTGAGGGTAGGCACTCTGTCTGAGTCAGGAGGTATTTGTTGAGTAAATAGGAACTCATCGCCTTCTCTTGACCTTACCCCCAGCCCAGTGCCCTAAGAAAAGTAAGGCATGATATAAGGTAATTGTAGTTCAAATAAATGATAATATTTGTATAGCACAAGCCTCGCCCTGAGGGCTAATGGGATCAATACCCTTAGCATACCTTGCATCTATTACCTACTCTTGGTATACTAACTAGATAACAAAGATATGGGAGTTGCCAGAGGGGTACTAGGCTGACTGATCTTGGGAGTATTTTATTTTATTTTTTTTTTTAATTGGTAACAGGGACCTAACTCATGACTGCCTGCTTGCAAGGCAGGCGCTTATGCTGCTGAGCTAAATCCCCAGCCCCAGGAGTATTTTATTTCTACCTCCTGGAACTCCCCTGTTGGATCCAACTGGAACTTTTCATATATGTTTTGAATTTTCCATCTAGAATATGTCAGGAATGGCCAATCCTAGGAATGAAAGAAACAGCTTAGTCCAACACATCAGTAATTGATAACTTTGTGTCTGCTTGCACATCCCTAGTGACGGGGAGCTTCCTTCCTCTTTGGGTAACCTATTCTTTTTTTTTTGGTATCAGGGATCAAACTCATGACCTCGAGCCAGCCACACAGGTACTTGCCCTTGCACCACTGAGCTAAATCCCTGGCCTCTGGGTAACCTATTGTAAAGCAGTTTTAATAACGAATATTTAACTGGGTGTGGTGGTACACACCTGCAATCCCAGCTCTCAGAGGCTGAAGCAGGAGGATTGTGGCAAGTTTGAGATCAGCCTGGGCTATAAAGGAGGTCAAGGCCAGTTTGAACTGCATAGCGAAACCCTGTTTCAAAAAGACTAAATAAATAAAGATAACTAATATTTAACAAGCTCTTTCTTGCGGTAAGTACAGATTTTCTTTCTGGTGATTTCTACTCTTGTCTCTGGTTCTACTTTGATAGCCATAGAGATACTTTCTTCTCATAGCTTTAGGTCAGCCCTGCAGAAACAAGAAGGCAGCAGTGGGGATCCCCGAGTCTGTCTTAAAGAGCACAGCTCTATTATCAGGCAGCCTTCCCAGGACATTGCCTCCTCTTCACCCTGAGTGTAGCCTTGGACTTGATTCAGTTGGTAACTAGCATTTCCTCTATGCCAGACCTTGATTTGGGCTTAGGACTTCAGGTGCTCTGGGCAGTAGAGTCAAAAGCAGGATTGTTCATTCCTCTTACTGGCGTTGAGACATCTATTAATGCACCTGAACTTCCATTAGCTATAGGTAAAGGCTGGACACTGATACTCAATATTGGGTCTTGTTCTGTTACAACAGAATTAGCCAGTTACTCACTGGTTTCAAGATATACATAGTGAGTCCTGTGATCCCATTCTGCCTTCTCCTTTTTCCTTCCTAGAAACCTGCCTGTATTCCTGAACACAGCCCTCGCAAAGATCTCCACCCCCACCCCTGGCAAAGAAGCCCCAGTGGGCTGACCTCAGCCACTATCTTTTTGTACTGTTGCAGAGTGTTCCTGGATTTATGACACGGCTTGTTGATCTTGAGAAGGCTGTGTGCTGGGCAGGCATGGAGAACTGGGCTCTGTGGGCGGGAGGGCAGGAGTTGAGGGTGGGACCTGCAGGCTTGGAGCAGTCTCAGTCTGGCTAGAGCCTTCAATCCAAGCTCCAGATTCTTCACCATCCAATGTGAGTGTTACCTAGTGAGACCTCGTCCCTGATAAGGAGCTGGATCAGTGGACTGGGGTCTTCATAATGAAGGGAAGTATGAGTCCCAAGGGGAGATCTGGTTCTGGGCCTGTTAATAGAAAGCTTTATCCGTCTGTCTCAATTGGTCAATCGGTTGTAGTGGTCTGGAGAGTAGTTGTGGGGAGTTCTTTGCCAGGAGGGAGGAGAAAGTGATGAAACCCAGGTCCTGGGTCTGCGTCTGACCTGGACAGAAGCTTCTTAAGTTGGCCCCACCAACTGAGTGGAGAAAGCCCCCATGACCCTCAGCTTCCCCCAAACTTTTCTTTGGGAGACATGGTCTTTTTAGAGAGGGAGGAGATGGGAATCTGGGCCTCTGCAGAGTCCTTGATATTATGGGATCAGGGTCCTGCTGGCCTGAGGCATGGCTCATTCAGACCCTGAGGGTGGGAGGGCTGGCAGACTGTGGCCCCCACTGAAATGGGTTGTAGGACACTCCCACCATTCCTTGCTAGTTGAATTTGGGTGAGGAAGAGGAATGCGTAGGTCAGGGTCAGTGGGAGGGCTGTAGCCATTTTTAGCCAAGGCTCCTTTGTGCAAGATACTCTGCTCAATTCAGTCTTTTCTTCTCATATTTTTATTGATACTGTTGTGCATGTGTGTATATGAGATTGAACTCAGTGCCTTTTGCATGCTAGGCAAGAACGACCACTGAGCTACATCCTGAGCCCTTTTGATACATGTTTGCAGAACATAATGATTACATTCCTTGTGGGCAGTTGGTTCATATACATAACACATTGTAATTTTTTTTCTTTTTTTTTTTCTGAGTCTTAAGCTATTAAGTGACAAGAAGCTATTTTTTGATTCTGACAAGGTTCTGGATCTCAGTCTGCCTTTCTGTAAGATTGGAAGAATAACCTTTGCACTTCTAATCCTTCTCCTTAGGGGCTGTCAGGGTTGTAAGAGTGAGATGAGCTATCAGAGTTCTTACATCTAGGCCTCTGGGAGCTTCTACTCAGTGTGCTTAGGGTTCCTAAGAGCTGTCCATGCCACTCCACTTCTGCCTCTCTCTGTACCTCCTCTTCTGCACAGTCTTCTTCTCCATATGCCCTTTCTACCATTTTTAGTTTTCTTCATACTCTAAGTGTGCTAAGGGCTTCCCTTTTCCAGACTCAGGTGTCCCACCAGGCCCCAAGTTGTATTCCTTGCCCTGCTTGGGCCACTCCCTACAGGATGTTCTCTGCGACTTCCCAGCCCTTGGACCCCGATGCGACCGTGTTCCGGCTGCGATTTACAACCATGGTCTGTTGGGTCATCACTTTCCCTGTGTTCGGCTTCTTCTACTGCATCATCTGGTCTCTGGTGTTCCACTTTGAGTACACAGTGGCCACTGACTGTGGGGTGAGTGCCAGGCTTCCCAGAACCTGGGTTAAGGCTAGGTCAGCACATAGTGGTAAGTAGAAATCAGAGTGGGAAAGACACAGAAGGTTAGAGAGGAGAAAGGCAAAAGGATGGAGAATAAGACTGAGTCTCAGTATAGTCACAGTCCTTCAAGAACTGGAAGAGGAATCAGGTGTAGTGGTGTAATCCCAGCACTCAGGTGGCTGAGGGAGGAGGATTGCTGCAAGTTTGAGACCAGCCTGGGCTACAAAGTGAGCTCAAGGCCAGCCTGACCTGCATAGCAAGAGCCTGTCTCAAAAAGACAGAGAAGGCTGGGGATACAGATTTGGCACAGCGCCTGCCTGGCAGGCATGAACTCGTGAGTTTGAGTCCCAGTACAGGAAAAAGTGTGTGTGTGTGTATGTGTGTGTGTGTGTGTGTGTGTGTGTGTGTGTGTACATATGGGTTAGAAGAAGATTAAGTTCAGCCTAGATGGACTCCAGCTTCCAAGGTCAGTCCTGAGGGTCAGGGGCAGAGAAGTTCTGTGTCCGAGGCACCTAGCTGAACATGGACTTGCCCTCAGATTTCATTTCTGCAAGAAGCAGTTCTTAGATACAGTCATAACATAGTAAGTTGGGATTTTTGTTGTGATAAACATGAACACAGGGACTTTAAGGGCTCATGGGAGACTCTTAATTCCAAGTAGACATTGGGGAAGGCTTCCTTCTTAGAGGCAAAGGTGTTGTTGTTTGTAGGTGGTGACAATGGTGGTGATGGTGGTACAGAAAGGTTTTTATGGACATTAGGCTGACAATTTGAATTTTATCCTGGAGCAGGGGCAAGAGAAAGCCTTGGAAAGATTTCAAGTAGGAAAAGGGCCATGATCAGATTTGAGCTTTGAAAGATGACTATAATTCTTGTGTGAAGAACAGACTAAAAGGAAAGGACAAGAGTAGGGAGACCATGTATCTCAGCACTTTGGAGGCTGAGATAGGAGGGTAGTTCAAGTTTGAGATCAGTCTGGGCTACAAAATGAGCTCAAGACCAGCCTGAACTGCATAGTGAGACCCTGTCTCAAAAAGACTAAAGAGAGGGGCTGGGGGTTTAGCTCAGCAGCATAAGTGCCTGCCTTGAAAGCAGGCAGTCGTGAGTTCGATCCCTGGTACCGATAAGAAGGAAAAAGACAAAAAAAAAAAAAAAAAAAAAGACTAAAGAGAGAGAGAGAGAGAGAAGACCAGGGGGATATTAGTGCGTGGCTAATACTACTGGAGGCCAGAGCTAAGGTGAGTACTGTGAAGACGGGGAAGATGAAGTTCAGAGAGGAGCAGCAAGAAGAATTTACAGGAACTAGAGTTTTGTCCAGTTGCTAAGAGGGGGATAGGCAACAAGGAAGATAGAGAAGTCATCTATAATTTGAGGAGACTTTATCTGAGGCCAAAGAAATGATCTCTAATGGCAGAATCTGATGGAGGAGTTTTTAGAACTCTCCCTTTATGAGTTTTTCTTCCATTGCCCTGGTAGGAAGGAGTTATCTACCTGGCCCTAGTACTTTTTTTTAGCTCTGTACTCATGAGGAGGTTTGGGCTGAGCTGGTAGCTCCCTGTGTTACTTGTTGTTGGTAGAGTTTGTGGGTGGATAATTTATGTGCTTGGGATGGGAGTAGAAGGAGGGGGGTATATGGATCTGAGTGTGTGTGTGTGTGTGTGTGTGTGTGTGTGTGTGTGTTACGTAAGAGACAGTCCCTGCTCTTAGAATCCCACCTCTCCTCCTAATCAGAGAGAAATTTGTGAAGACTAGCCATCAGAGGGTCTTCATCCCCACCCCTACTTCCTCCAGCTTCATTATTTATCTATCCAATTATCAGTCAGAGTTCAGTGCCCTTGAATGCTTCAAACTGTCCAGTTACGCTTTAGGCACTAGTCCTGCTCACTTAAGCTAACTGAGATTAGGGAACAGTCTTCAGAACGAGGCAATAGAGGCAACACTTTCACTAATCTAACTTGGGAACAGAGAGGCTAACATATCAGTTAAGGAGAGCAGGAGGTCTGTCTTGGGTACCATCTCTCATGAGAAGGCCTTCTTATGCCAAATGGCCATGTAGCTCACAGCATCTTGCAGGCTTTTCAAGAAAGCACTTACTGTACTCACTGTGTGGGAAATCCTGCAGATGGCTTTGCATGTGTTAGAAATTCATAGTTACCCTGCAAGGTAGGTGGTGTTATACCCATTACCAGCTTGGAAACTGGAGCTCAGAGAGGTGAAATGCATTGCTCAGAGTCACACAGATAATAAAGGGAGAGCTGGGACACAGACTTAGCTTTGTGAAGTTGCAAAGCTTCATGCTGGTTTTTTACTGATTAGTCAGTAAATATCTGAATTTGTCTGAAGCTATGGTACCTCAAGCCATGGCTTCAACAGCGGGGTCTTCTCATTGAGAAGACTGTAGTTTTCTCTAACAGTGTTGAGGGGAACCCATCTCCTCTTTTGTGGAGACTCTGAAGTGCCTCACTGACCCTCCCACAAGCCCAGCCCTTGCTTGTAAATCACCACCAGTATTGCTACCACAAGATTCATTTAACATCTTCCTTGGAATAAAGGAAGGAACCTTCCAGAATTTCATCCCTAAAGACTGGTCCCTGTATATTTTGAGTAGGGTCATTCTCTTGCTGGGTTGCTGGGCTCTGACACTGCTCTGGCCCTTGTTGAGTGTCTAAAAATATTCACAAAAAGTGTGGGCAGTGGTCTGCCAGCTTCTAGTTTGGGTATCTTAAAGATGCAGATTTTCAAGTTCTAAACCCACATTTTCACACAACTACCCAGTGAGTTTTATGTGTTATTAAAGTTTGCAAAGTCCTGTGGGGTGTGGTGGCACATGCCTGTAATCTCAGCACTCGGGAGACTGAGGCAGGAGGATTACCATGAGTTGCGAGGCCAACCTGAACTACATAGCAAGACCCTGTCTCAAAACAAAACAATAAAATTTGCAAAGTACTGTTGTATACCGGGAGTTTAAGAGATCCTTCTTCTGCTGGGTGTGGTGCTATGTTTGTAATCCCAGCACTTGGGAGGCCGAGGCAGAAGGATTGCTGTGAGTTCAAAGCCATTCTGATTTTTTTTTTTTTTTTTTTGTCTTTTTCTTTTTTATCGGTACCGGGGATCGAACTCATGACTGCCTGCTTGCAAGGCAGGTGCTCATGCCGCTGAGCTAAATCCCCAGCCCCCTCAAAGCCATTCTGAATTAAATAGCAAAAGGCAAGGGGAGAGAAAGTCAGACATCTCCACACTGCTCATTGTAGTCCTATAAGTACCACCACCCCCTTCTTTCTCAGCCTGAAGAAGTAAGGTTGCAGTGTTTTCAGGAATGAGGAGTTCCAGGCACTGAGAAAGATGGAAAGGAGAAATGCATAAGAACAAGGTCATTTTCCTCAGGCCAGGTTAGAAGCACCCACTTTCTTAAACATGAACAGGATAGAGATACCTTTCTGGTCTATCTCATGGAACCCTCTATCACCTTAGCAGCCCTGCCCAGAGGAATGAATGAAGCAGGGAGCACTAACAGGAGCAGCTCAGTACTTTTCAAAAGGATAGATTGTCAGTAACTCATCTCTCAGGACTGAATCTGGAGTTCTAGATTACTGAGATTTCCATAGGGAATCCATCTCCAGACTCCGGACTCCAGGAATAGGGAGCACCTGAACCTCACAAACTGCCCATAAGCGCAGGTTCCACTTTGTAGGGAGATAGAGAAGGCTAGCCCTGCCCCTGCATAGACCCCAGGCTAGCTGGGAAACAGACCTGCACACACTGAGCAGGACCTGGAAAGGAAAGGTTGGGGTGGGGCTGGGGTTGCTAAAGGAGAACTTCTGGAAAGGAAGGGGCTGGGCCTTCTGAGGGCCTGTGACTGACTTGGGGAGGGCTAGGGGAGACCCCCATCCCAGATGCGGCCCACTCCCTAGGTACCCAACTATCTACCTTCGGTGAGCTCAGCCATTGGTGGGGAGGTACCCCAGCGTTATGTGTGGCGCTTCTGCATCGGCCTGCACTCGGCGCCACGCTTCCTGGTGGCCTTCGCTTACTGGAACCACTACCTCGGTTGCGCCTCCCCGTGTCCTGGCTACCGCCTGCTCTGCCGCCTGAACTTCAGCCTCAACGTCATCGAGAACCTTGCGCTGCTAGTGCTCACCTATGTCTCCTCCTCCGAGGACTTCAGTGGGTGCTCAGAGGAGGGACGGGTGGAGAAGGGCTCGGGAAGGGGACGGACTGCCCCTTCTTGCACACAGACCTTCCTACCCTGGGGTGAGGGCGCTTCTGGCTATGGGCACACCATCCTCTCTCCCTCCAGCCATCCATGAAAATGCTTTCATTGTGTTCATCGCGGCATCCCTCAGTCACATGCTCCTCACCTGCGTTCTCTGGCGGCTGACCAAGAAGCACACAGTAAGTCAGGAGGTACGGTCTAAACTTACTGGGCGCCAGGTGCCCAGAAGAAAATCAAGGACATCTGTCCTTAGGATGTGGGTAATGAAGACGTGGGAACTGGAGGGTTGTTTAGTTTTGTTTTTGTTTTGGGAGAGGGTCTTGCTCTGAGATTCAGGCTGGCCTTGAACTTACTATGTATGTAGCCCTGGCCTTCTCAGCCTCCTGAGCCAGCGCTGCTGGGCTTATTGGCATGTACCATCACTCCCTGCTAGACTGGAGTTTTTTTTTTTTTTTTTTTTTTTTAAATCGGTACCAGGGATCGAACTCACAACTACCTGCTTGCAAGGCAGGCGCCTATGCCACTGAGCTAAATCCCCAGCCCTAGACTGGAGTTTTAATAGGAACCTTGGCAGAGGGGTATGGTATTGGTGTGGGAGCTGAGGCTTGGGTTAAAGGGTGATTGATCTGTCAGAATCTAGTACTATGTTTAGGTAATATGGCAGATGACCGTTTAGTGATGAAGGCTCCAACTAGGGAGATTGAGTGGTAGCATCTGCGCTCCAGTATGGTAAAGACACTTTGGCAGGGGACTGCAGGGGACTAATAATTGTAGTGCCCCATCAGCATCCATGCCTTTCCCTGCCCTATAGTACATGGAAGTGCTGATTTGGTGGGTGACCATGTAACTTTCATACTCTTTGCCTCTGAAATTAAAGGGACAGGGATCTTCCCATTATCAGTTTCCAAAATGCAGGTGTATGACCTGCTCATCATTCCTGTTGGTACCACCTTCTATGATTACTGTGGGAGCCAAGGGAGGGAAAGCTCTGTCCTTAGGAGCTGGGGACAAGAGGGGAGGCTGTCCATGAACACAGTACAAGCTCCAGAGTGATCTGATAGCCCATCCCCTAGGACCGCAAGTCCTACAGCTGGAAACAGCGGCTCTTTATCATCAACTTCGTCGCCTTCTTCTCTGCTCTGGCTGTCTACTTCCGGCACAACATGTATTGTGAGGCTGGAGGTAAGGCCAGGCTAACATTTATAGATGGTCATAAGTGACAAGGGGGCATTGGTTGTCACTGTGTTTTGGTGTGCTAATAGTATCGCAATTTAAGGGACTTGTAAAAGGGGTAACAGGAAGTTCATCATGCCCTGTTCCTTGTGTTCTTGTAACAGTTTACACCATCTTTGCCATCCTGGAGTACACCGTTGTCCTAACCAACATGGCATTCCACATGACAGCATGGTGGGACTTTGGGAACAAAGAGCTGCTCATATCTTCTCAGCCCGAAGAAAAGCGATTCTAAACCCCTCTGCTGCTGGAAGAGAGCCCAATGTTGAGAAACAAGAAACAACTCTGGCCTTCCCTATCTTGTTATTTCCTTTCTGGGCCCTTTGAAGCTGGGGGAGGGAGAAGGGTAGAAGGGCATAGCATAAGGCTGATCCCAGCACTGCTGGTTTCTTTTCCTCAACCCTCAGAGGCACAGGAACCTTCAAGTAACACCACCCTTAACTGAGAAGACCCAAGAAGCCAAGCTGGCAGGAGAGCTCCACCTCTTGGTGCTAAAAAATCTCAAGGTTTATAACCACCATGTAGTTTCTGGCCTTTATACACCCACCTTTCTCTGAGGCTGGGTACCACTGAGAAGTGTCTGTTACCTGAAAACCACAGCTGCGTCTCTCCGGGTCACTCCCCTAACTTGTCTAGTGATCTACTATGTGCATCCAGGCTGTGGCCATAGTCCTGTTGAGACTGCTCAGGTGTCCTATCCTGACCTCACTTCTTTGAACTGGTATGTGCTCTAGCATGTGTACTCTTTCCTATCTGACCCTTGGTGTATTCAGATACATGATAGGGGCAGGTGTGCTGTCTGATTTCCATGGGTTCTGCAGTGCGGCTCATCTCTGATGAGGTGGTGTTCTATACCTGAAGGATGACCGTCCAGGAAAAGCACCATCATAGCATGTGTTGCCCTTCATTTCTGAAATCACTAGCTTACAGACCCTGGGGTGGAGGGGTCAGAGACATAACTCCCTAGCCTAAAATGGGTTCCGTGGTGTCCCTCTATGTCCCCTAGTCCCCTGAACTCTGAGCTTTTGTGCTTGTACATTTTATTGCAAATAAAAATAAATTTTTGATTTTTGCCAATAATATGGGGCAGTCTTGCTAGCCTCAGGATTCGTATCTTTGATAAGTACTTAACTTGAAGGATGGACTCAGAATGGGGTAATAAATCCATGGCAGGGTATTCTAAAACACACACAGTGAGAGAGACAGAAACAAAGTTTTTAGGTTCAGTCTCCTGAAGCTGGTCTAAACATCTACTTTGGTGAGCAGGAATGACAGCTGTCCTTGTAACAACCAGGCCTGGAAGCCATGCCTGGGAGTTCTCAGTTGGGAAGCCTATGTTTCAGCTGCAACATATGTCAGGGAAGATCTGTCCCCATGGAGGTGTAAGGAAGCTGCTCTCAGGATGACTAAGAGCACCCGCCTTCAAGCTGATGGCTCTCAACCTGTCCCTTTCTGACTCTTACATCAGAAGATTTTCCTTGAGTGATGCATCCTAGTCTACTATAGCATCTATGGCTATAGAGCTTTGTTAAGGAAATTGGGGATCAGGAGGGGGGGATACAATAAAGCCTATTGTTTCCTATCCCCTCTTACAAGAAACAAAGGCTCCCAGTCTCTGGGGAGCCCTAGCCTATGCCCACCCCGCAATGCCCCAGCACACAGGGAGGAGCCGGGGCCACTGGAGACAGGAGGTTTTATTGATGACTGATGGGGGGTTGGAAAGGCCCCCAGGAGCATGAGTCAGTCAGTGGATGCATAAGGCCTGGGCACATGGGAACAGATTAGGGTGCATTTATCTTCTCAGGATTCTGTGGCTCCTTCCTTGGGGGAGAGAGCATCTTGGGGGGGGGGTGTTCCAAGAGCAGCGAGGGAGGTTAGAGACAGCTGAGAGCCCTTAACCTGTGAGGAGGCACCACAATAGGCAGCAACAACTTTTTGAAAGCTAGATGAATTGGTCAGTAGCAGAAAACGGGGCAGAGGCATTAAGTTGGCCTCTTGGAGAGGGTCAACCTTGGCCTGGGTGAGCTCATGAGAATACCTGGTGTTCCCAAGCAGAGTGTGGTGGGGGCCGAACCCCTCTTCCCTATGGGCCTCCTTGAGAGAAAAAGGCATTCAGGGAGCCCCCTGGCAAGGGATGCCAGAATTAGTCCTTAAGGCACAGCTGGGGGCAGACAAGGCGCCAAGGCACAACTGGTGAGGGGAGGGAAGGGACACTTCCAAGCTGAATGCCAGGGTCACAAGAGGACGCAGGACCGCCCGCGCTTGATCGGTGTAGGGTTGAGCACTGCCCGGACAGCCTCGGCAAACACTTCCTTCACGCCATCCTGCTGTAGGGCCGAGCACTCGAGGTAGCGCACAGCGTGGATCTGCTTGGCCAGTGCTTGGCCCTGCTGTGGTGTGATGGGCGCCTGGCCCTGCTCCTTGAGGCGCCGCAGGGTATCAGGCTGGGCTCTCAGGTCCTTCTTGGTGCCCACCAGAAGGATGGGCACATCCGGGCAGTGGTGGCACACCTCTGGATGCCACTTGTGCCTCACATTCTCATAGGAGGGTGGACTGGCAATAGAGAAACAGATGACAAAGACGTTGGTCTGAGGGTAGGAGAGCGTGCGGAGGCGGTCATATTCCTCCTGGCCCGCAGTGTCCCACAGGTTCAGGTTCACTGTGCGCCCGTCAACTGCACTCTGGGCGCTGTAATTGTCGAACACTGTGGGGATGTACTCTTTGGGGAAGGCGTTGGTGGTATAGCAGATGAGCAGACACGTCTTGCCTACAGCCCCATCACCCACCACTACACACTTGATGCTCTGCATTGTGGGCGAAGCTGCTGTTCTGGAGGCAGTGCCTCCTCCCTCTTCTGGGCCCTCTGGATATAATGACCTGTGCAGGGAGAAGAGGGACACTCATGGTTAGGGAGACCTCTACCTACTGAGAACGGGTAGGAGGGGTACGCAGGAAGAAATAGGCTACTGTTCATGAACTGACATTATGCCAAATTCCAGTAAGACAGACAGAATGGCAGATACACAAGGAAAGGTATCAAGGAACATGTTATAATGATGCAGTATAGGTGGTCAGGGGCCCTAGAAACTTTGATGTCAGATTAACTAAAGTCAAATCCTGAATCTATTGTTTTCTTACTATGACCCTGAACAAACCACCTCTCTGCCTCAGTTTTCTTAACATTAAAGCAGGGACACACTAATGCTTCATTTGGTTATTATAAGACACAGATTAATAGATATAAAACATTTTGTACCTGGTCAATAAAGATTAGCTATTTTTATTTTCCCATAGGCAGAAACAGAAGACACAGAAAGAGGGTGTCCAAGTGCAAGGATCTATTATACTTTATCCTAGGTCTTTTACTATCCTACCAGCTTGATCTCTCACCACTACTGCAAAAGCTTCAAAAATCAAAGACAGGTTGGGTGTAGTAGTGCACACCTTTATTACCAGCATTTGGGACATAGAGGTAAGAGGATCACTCTTGAGTTTGAGGCCTGCCAGGACTACAAAGTGAGACCCTATATAAAAAGCAAAACAAACAAATCAAAGATTGTGTTGGGGAATTCCCTGCTAGGAAATGTAAAGGAACTTTGGTGGTGTGGCGATTGCAAAGGACACAGAGGTTGGTCTCTGTTGGTCTCTGTTTTTTCCCACAGCTTCCCCTGGGACCAGCTTCCTCTATGTGGTTGCCTTTGGGTTCACAGTAACAATATTTCCATCTTATTTGCATGAATAAGTGTGTGCGTGTTCAGCCTCAGGACATCCAGATAGAGACCTTCAGACAGTGGATCAGGGAAGGAAATAAGGGCCCCCAAAGTAGTAGAGAACCTCAGAGTGGAAGTCCAGAGACTTAAGTTTTAGCCCAGCTCTGCTGACTCAAGGCAATCGAGTATGAGGTACTTACCCTCTCTGGGTCTTAGTTTCCCTTTCCAGGAAATGGAGTTTAAAAATGCTTATTGACAAGGGCATTAGGGAAATGAAGTAAGGCTTAACGAGCCCCTGGGGTCAGGTGCCATTACTTGTGATTATCTCAGAGGCTGTGGCATTTCACAGTACACTCCAGGGCCTGCAATCTTCATTTCCACGCAGAGCAGGGAAACTGGTGTGGCCTATGACTGAGAAGTCTTTCCGCAATCTCAGCAATGGGCTGGCCCAGGCAGGAAGGCCAGAGCGGAACTGTGGGCAGCAGTCACAAGGCCCAAGAGACTGAAAACACAACTGATTCTCTAGGGAGGTGGTTATCAACCAGCAATCAGTAAATCAGCCCTCAAAGGACAGGGGAGGGTACAGTTCCTGGGTTGGCAAGGAACAGTGGCTGACACTGAAAAAAATTATGAATGAGGCAATATCAATCCAAGGTATGGTATAAGGCCAAGAGAACCAGATACCTGAATCTGACCTACTGAGTTCATTTGCTCTTCTTGATCATTAATAAAAAGCCTTTGCAGCCAGGCATGGTGGTACAAACCTGTAATCCCAGCACTTGGCAGACTGAGACAGGAGAGTTGCCATCATGTTTGAGGCTGCCTAGGCTACATAATGAATTCAAAGCTCATCTGAATTACATAGCAAGACTTTGTCTCAAAAAAAAAAAAAATCCTTTATATGGTACAAGCCTTTATAGATTCCATAATATTTTGTCATTTGATCTTTATAACAATGTACTGGTATTATTTCTATTTTACACCTGAGGAAACAAGAGTAGTTAAAGTGACCAATATTACACAGCTAGTTAGCACAGGAGCCAGGACATAAACCCAGTTTTGTCATCCGAAGCCCTAGGTTTTTCTTTTTCCTTTTTTTTTGGTACCAGGGATTGAACTCACGATCTTGCCACTTGCCAGGCAGACGCTTCTGCCACTGAGCTAAATCACTGGCCCTAGGTTTTTCTAAATGCATCATCACACAGTCTCAAAGCTACTCTTTACTAGCTATGTGATCTTGAGAAGTACATTACTTCCTTTAAAGCCTCAGTTTACTCATCTGTATAGGAATGATACTGTAATACTTGCCCTTCCAGCCTTACAGGGCTGTATCTGGGATCCTGAGCATAAAAATGAAAAAATGCTTTGTGAGCTGTGATGTACCATGCACACAGAAAGTTACAGGAGCAAAGCCTTCTGTCCCAAGAGGCAGGAAGAAGCGAGTATGTTTGAGTAGTGGCATCCATCCAGTTTTCTTTCTTCAGATCTAGTCTAGACCTTTAGCCTATCTCCCAAGAAAATACTTGTCTTTGAAATCCTTTTGTCCAGAACTGAGTCAAATAGGTTCCCCATGCCCATTAAAGGCATACATGCGCTAAAATGTAGTATCTAATGTGTGCTGAATAGGAAGAAGATATGTTAATGCCACAAAATGCTAAATTAGGAGTGGCCTGCCTGAGTTCAGGTTTGACTATGTTCACTAAGTGGCTTTAAAAAAAAAAAAACCAAAAAACCTTTGGTCAGTAAATAAACTGATGTTTGCAGATCTGTACGGTATGAACCAAACTACAATGGTTTGTTCTGGCTTTTTAGTCCTACTTTAATTCAGATTATCATTTTGGTGTTCAAAGTTCTTTCAAATCTGAAAGGAGTTCTGCCATCACAAAGACCTGGATTTAAATCCTGATTCTAACCACTTATTCAATGGGTAATGCTGGATCTACAATTATCTGCCTTTGTAAGCTTCAACTGCCTTATCTTTCAGATGCAGCACCAATAGTACCTATCTTATGGGGTTGCTGTATGCATTAATTGCATTAATATATAACATGTGTGCATAAGGTAGATGGGTTCTCAACTCCTGGCTCTAGAGGAGTCTTAACATCCTCCACAAATTGGCCAGATTATTATTATTATTATTTTTTATTTAAGGAGAAAAAGAAAAAAAAAAAAACAGAAAAAGGGTACAAGTTACACGGAATTTCAGAAAAAATAAACAATAGGAAATCACTAGTTAATAGATTACATATTGTTATCGTAGAAATAGTTATTCAAGTTACAAAATTAAAGCATATAAAGTGGACTTTCAAACAGTGAGACTGGAAATAGTTTTGTTCAATGATCCAACAAAACTCAGTAATATGGTTATCC